ACACAAAAACACACACACACAAATCTGCACATGCACGTACGTCCATAAATGCTGCAGAAACACACTCATATTCACATCGGTGAATTCACAAAGCTGCTGCAGACTTGAGCAAAACAAAAAACATGGTACAACTCAGTTGACATCTGTTTTTATTTATATTCACGTTCTTTCTGGTGAATTTGCTGCGGTACTTTATGTAAGGCAAAGTGGCCCAGCAGACAAAGAGGTACAGATATAATTCAGTTTGTAGATCTTCATCAACATTTAGGGGGGTGCCCTAATTGGAAAAATCTAATATTTTCACTTAATTTTGACAAATAATAGCAACTTAATATTCACAAAATTGTATGTACATATCCTGTGATCCTTGTTCTAGTTTTTTTTCCTAAAATATCAATTTACAACTACATAGACACCTATAGCACACAATTTTCTTGACCTCGCCTGTAATGAATATGCCACTGCTTGTTTAGTAAAGTGATGAAATTGTTCTGTCACGTTGATTCAGTAGTTCCATCCAGCCAGAGGACACTCTGGTGTACGATGTGAACTCCAAAAGCAGAAAAAAAAGTGTGGTTGCGTCGGTAAATGTGTTGTTTTGCTTACACTAATGTGAACACACCTAAACCAACAATCAACAACAGACCAAACACGCTCCGCAAAGGGAATATATTTAAAAAACTGACATGTGAGTGTGAATTAAGGCAACTCAGAATGAATATCATCCAGATCTGAGAATGCTCACTTGCTGACACGTTCACTTCATCATGCTTGCTTTGTAAACAAATAATTATATTGTGGAAACGGTACACAGCCACCTGACATTCTTTAAAGCTGCTGGCTCATAAAATGCACTGTGTGATTATCCAGATAATGTGCTATATCACAATACATACTGATCATAGACTGACATTAAGCTATATTAATACATATATTGTGATTATTTCCCACTCCTATTTGGTGCTCTTAATGAGTCATGTAATTCTATATATTTCTATTTTATGTGTCTACACATGTGAGGACACATCCTCATACACTCAGTGTAGTTTAAACAGAACTGCATTTGTCAAAAACAACAACAGTATAATTTGTGCTACATTTGGATGGGGTTATGGGGTTTTTAAGGGATTAAGATGCCAACCATGAAACACAATGTCCTCTCCCATGTTTCCGGTCATCTCTTTACTAGCGCTATCAAATAAAGGCCTAAAATGCCAAAAAATAATCTGAAAAGAAAGTGTGTGTACTAGGGTGCACAGGTCTTTTGTATAAAGGGCGTATAAGTGAGTGTTTCAATGTGTATTCACATGTATCTTCTCTCGCCTACTTGAGCCCAAGTCAGTGTGTCTGCATTCAAGAAGAGAATGGCTGCACCAGCCTACACCCCTCCCTTTCAACCAACCACTGAGCATTTTGACAATCATCCACTGTGGCCCTTCACAAAAATCAACATCACCTGTGACCCATGGCCTCCACTCGGCCACTCAAATGCAGGGCCTCCTGCAGGGCGGGGGTTTCTGGGGGGCTCTGTTTGTCATGCTAATCAGCTGGCCTAACCTTAACGACCCAGACATCTGCTGCCCTGCATGTGTCAAGCCCCCACATTCAATTTGTTCCCCAGATACAAAAAGCAGGTAAGACCCTCGAGGCTGGTGAGAATGTCTGTGTGTCTTGTTGGTGATGTTGTATGGACGAAAGGGAGAAATCCTTTCCTTTCTGTGCATGCACTAGAGCAATAATTAGCAGCAGAGACGAGAGCTAAAGTGTACGCTCGTGCATTCTATGCCGTTGTCCTTTCTTCTGTGTGTGTGTGTGTGTGCACGGTTTAATGTCCGGTACCCCCCACCAACCAACACACACAGCCAGGCTGGTTGCACACACACACACACACACACACGTGTTCAAGTGTGTGTGTGTGCAGCAGAGCGATGGAGAAGGGGTGGGGGGAGTTTGTTTAATGGGCGAGACAGGGGACCATGGGGATTAAGCTCCCCCCAGCTGGAGGCTTTAGAGGAAAGGCTGGGGGCTGTCCTGTTAATTCAAGTGGGCTTAATAATGCCTGTGCACCCTCTGCCCCTGACCCTCCCACCACTACATCAGATCTGGGAGGAAACACATGATAAAGGCAGACAAG